AGTCCTCCTTCCCTCCCCCCAATTTTTTTTAAACACGAACCACCCACTTTCCAACATCCAACTTTCAAAGAAACGCGGAAAAAGCCGAGAGAGCCTGAGAAGAAGAAACCGTAACTTGCCTCCCCCCACCCCAACCTCCACTCCCCTCCCTGGACTAAGCAACAACGCTTAATAATAATTAGCAATAATTATTACTGATGATGAGCAGGAATAAGAGATCTTGGCTAGGGTCAGCGGCGGGCAGGAAAGGAGGACTATAAAGGGGTCGAATCTGAGGGGGAAAACCAAACCTTAACAATCCAGTTAACACCCCCTCTCCAAGCAGGTGTGGAGGTTTGAAATGTTGCTTTAAATAAAGGAGGGGCGGTATTGGCCCCCACCCCCACCCCTTCCCCCAGCTCTTTTCTCTCTGCTAAGGGAGGGAGCCCGGGTTGAAATAATTGGGGATTGGCTGGGGGGGGGGGGGGGGGGGGGGAAAAAAAAAAAAAAAAGGAATATAAAAATAAGAGGCTGGAAAACTCTGAAACCCTATTGAAAACTGGATGGGGCAAGACTCGTGGACCCAGGGCACCCTCTTTGCTCAGGAGAGGTTCCCACATCTCTGGCCCAGGAATAAGAAGCGGATTGCTCCGGAGATTTGAGGACCCTACCCCATTCCAGCTCTAATTGCAGTTTCCCAGAGTCCCACGGGGGGGTTTGAGGGACTGGGGGGGGGATTGAAGGGCATCTCTTTGTCAGGGAGTGCCCAGCAAATGTGCCTCTTCACCCCAGCCAACGTTTCATTCCTTCCACCCCCCACCCCCCAAAACCCCACACCTGTGGCTAACTGGGACAGAAACATGGGGTTGAAAATTGGGGGATTTGGTTCCCTCACATTCAGGATGAGCAGAAACACAGCTCTCCTCAAATGTCTAGCCTCAGCAGAGTTGGCTTCTCTCCTAGTTTTCAGAGGCAAACAGGGTATACACACATATATGTATATATGGATATGTGTGTGTGCATATATCTACATTAATGTATACATAATAGTCTCTGCCACTTCGATTTCAGGACACTGAGACAGTGCAGGGGTACTGGTGTATCTATTTGACAGATGGGAAAACGGAGGGCTTGGAGGTTATAGGTGACTTGTCCAAGGTCCCAGGTTGGTGATAGAGCCAGGAACCAAACCCCCATTTTCTGACTTCAAGTATAATGCTTTCCCAGGATAACACACTGGTTCCAGCTCAGAAAAATTAGAAATCAGCAACTGTTTATTAAGTGACTATTGTGTGAAAAGAAGGGGATCGAGGTGTACAAATTTAGATAAGATTTAGTTCAGGCTCTCAAATCCCTTATAGCATATACAGCTCATCCCCCTGGAGCAACTGTCTTCACAAAAATTGGAAGCTAAACTCCAGCAGAAGGACTAAACACTACCATGGAAATAAATTCACAGACACAGTCACATGTACGGATGTCATATATATTTATACAAGTAGTGCATCATGCATATATACCCAGACATATGTGAATAATCAACATGTAAATTGTCTGTTTATTCCTATTCATATACAAACACACACCATCATAATTATAGTACCTCATATTCTACACTTACATGTCCCATGGGCATCTCAGACTCAAGATGTTCCAAACCAAACTTGGTATCTTCCCCTCAATCTTACTCCTCCTGACTTTTCATAGGATTCCATAGGATTTTACAGTGTTAAGAATTGATAGGGACCTTAGAGATCATCTAGGCCAACTCCTTTATTTTTCAAATAAGACTCAGAGATTTGCCTTAAGGTCATATAAATATTTAGGAGCAGAGCTGGGATTCAAACCCAGGTATTCAGGTTTCAATAGGTAGATCTCTGACCATGGATGGCATCCTAGTCCCTAAGGATCAAAATTTGAGAATCACCTCTGGTTCCCTCCTTCCCAAAATTTAGTCAATTACCAAATCCTAGACATTCTACTTGACTCAAATCGTTCACAACCTGTCCTCTCCACTCTCATGCCAGAACCCCAGAATGGACTTTACTTTTCCTCAAAAGAATACTGTGAACCTCAAATGAGATAGAGCTTAAAATATTTTGGAAACTTCAAAGTTGTAGATCTATGCAAAATATTATTATAGGCCTCATCCATGCTCACCTGTGCTATTGCAATATTCTCCTAACTTCCCCAACCAACACTGGACTCTCCTCTAATCCCCTTCCTCTCCTCCCAGTCATCTTTCCAAAGCCTAGTTTTGATTATATTCCTTCCCTGCTTTGACACTATCAATGGCTCCTCCTTGCCTACAGGGTAAAGTCCAAATTCTACATCTTGGAGGTTAATGCCAGCCTACTAGCTTTATCTCTTTTGGGGGTATACTCCCCATTTTGGCCAAACTGAACTTCTCACCATTCCTTCCATTTAGCTTTCTTCTCTGCCTTCCCTCACACCACAGCCCTAGCTCCACCTGTTGAAAAATTCCCATCCTTCATATAAAGTTCAAATACCACCACCTCCAGGCAGTATTCTTTGATTCCCTTCCCCCCATCAGTACTTCCCATTGTATCCATCACATTTTGCCTTGTAGAATAATTATATGTGAATGATTTATTTCCCCTGTTAGACTCTGAGCCCTCCTCAGGGGCCCGAACTCCTGCTGTTTTTTCTTTAAACCCTCAGTTCATACTGGATGAATAATCAATGGTTGTTGAATGAGCAAACAATAATAATTGTTGGCATTTCTATAGCGCCTTGACGAAGCACTTTCGTCACTGCAGCCTCCTAAAGGTAGATAGCCTAAATACCCTCATTCCCTTTTTCCGCTGAGGAAATCTAAACCAGAGATGGGAACTGGCATCCCAAAGTCACACAGCTATAGTTTAACCCTATGATGATTCGACACTTTCGGAAAATAGAGACACGGAGGTTCGTCCTGAGAAATTCCCTAATTTGCAACAGTCAAGTAGCCTGGAACTTCTCCCACGACCTGCGTGGGAGACAGCTATACTGACTGGCTTCTCTACTACTCTTTAGCCTACTGCATCCGCTTCTAGTCCGCTAAACCGAGAGTGAGGGGCGAGAGGAGTCGGTTTTACTCCAATAGCTTTAGGCTACCCTAGTGAGCAAACAGCCACAACACTCCATTAGCCTTTTGTGGTTTTAGGCACACACGAGCACAACCTATGTGTGCACACACATATATGTGTATGCATGTATGTATGTAAATATGCACGTATATGGGTATATATACGTACACCAGCAAATGTCCCAGCCCCCAGGCCGAATCCACACTGTGTCTTCCACAATCAGTTCAGGGCTGCTCCACCTGAAAGTGACACCGCGCCCCCCTACTCCGCCCCCGGCAGCCAGGGAACCTGGGTCCTTCTCGCTTGCATTCGAGGGGGTGTCTATTTCTATCTCTGTGTTTGTATATTTTTACCGCTTTCTCCCCACTTTGGGTAAATGATGCGGCTTCTGAAAAACTTTCCTGATCCGTCCCTTGGCGCGGCCTTCCCGGATGACAGGGCAGAGGAGTGTCAAAACCCAAAAGACCTTTGGTGTTTGGATACATGTGCGTGTTCGTGTGTATGTGAACGTAGATGCATGCATGCGTGTATTTATATGTATTTAGAGGAGTGCATTTAAAAAGCGTGACCAAGAGGCAGAGATTCGGGGATATTCCCTGGAGGTGAGAAAGGAACTCCTTTCTGCCTCAACAGAGGTTGCAGAGTTAGAAACAATACAACTGCGGCCGGGGCAATATCTGGGCTGGGTCCAGGGTAGAGAGGCGGGGGCAGGGGTAGGCGTCGGGACTGAGGCAGAGGCAGGAGCAGGGGCTGGGTCAGGGGCAAAGACTAAGGTAAGGGTCTGAGCAGAGACTGGGATTGATGAAGGGGTCGGTGCTAGGGGCACAGGATAAATCAGAGGCTGAAGCTGGGGGAAAGGCAGGGGCTCAAGGTGGTTGAAGAGTAGTTCAGAGGCTGGGGCTGGAAATGGACCGACCGCTAATTCTGAGGCAGAGGTTGGTGCAGGGACTGGCTGACAGCGCTGTAGGCAGGCTAGTCGCACGGATATAATGCTCTGTGGAAACCCCGAACGGTGGGCTCTGATCACCTCTCCCCAAGCTCTCCTCGCCCGCCCTCTGCGGAATCCAGTCGCAGTCCGCAGATGTAAACACCTTAGGCCCCTGCATGTGTGAGGCAGCGAGGGAACCCAGAACGGCTTCTGGAGTCTGATTGGTGGCCGTAGACACACGGGTTCGCTGCTAGCCGAAGGCCAGCTTTCCTTACACGTGGGCATCCCAGGCCCTACAGAATGCATGGACATCCCCCTCACGCTCCAGGTCATAGCCCAAGCACTCACATAACCCGCATCCCTAGAGAAACGGCGCTGCTGTCTGGCCCCTTTTCTCCCCTGGGAGAAATGACGGTCTCATGGTTCTCTTCACATACTCCAAAACGATAGTGAGCGGGGACACACCTTTGCTCACCCCGAGACGTAGGATCATGGTTGTAGAAGTACTGTGTACTGTGGTTGTAGAAGACGAGGAAGGCAAACTAGGAGGAGAAGGAAAGATAGATGGAAAGGAGAAGAAAGGGGAGTGAGAATAAAGGAGAAGGGAAGAGTCGTAGAGAGGAACGAAAGAAGGGAGAACAAGAGAAAAGAGACAGAGAGGAAATGAGAGGAAGAAGAGAAGCTGGGGAAGATAGCAAAGAGGAGAAAAAAGAGAGGAAAGAGATTGGAGGAGAGGAAAAAGGAGATGAGAGAAAGTGAAGAGAAGGTAAAGTAAAGAGGAGAGAAAGGGAGAAAAGTGGAAAGTAAGGAGAAAGGGGAAAAGTAGAGAAGAGAAAGGGGGAAAAGTGGAGAAGAGTAAGAGAAAAGAGGAGACAGTGAGGAGAGTTGAGAAAAGGGAAGAAAGGGGAAGAGAGGAAAGGAAAGAAAGAAGAGGAAGAATGAGGGAAGAAAGGAAGGATGAAAAGTTGAATGGGAATTGAGGTGGGAGTGGGGGAAGGCGACGAGATGCACTGGGATTCCAGACTGGAGAGAGGGAAGATGAGAGGGACAGGTGGGGCCGAGAGCCCTTTACACCCGCAAGATCCCCGTCTACCCTGAGTTCCTAGAGGAAGAAGCCCCCAGACTCAGAGAAAGGGATGATTCTGGGGCTAGGGGCTACCCCTAAAGTTGCAGAGTCTGAGTGAACTTTTGCGGAAGATAGGGCTCCCTGGAACTTTGGGGAGTCCACGCTGGCCTGGGGGGACAGGCTGGAAGCGGGGCAGTTCCGAGTCTCTTCCCCCCCCCCCCCCCCCTTGCCTTTCCCCCCCCCCCCCCCCCCCGGGCCCCCCGCCGGGCCGCCCGCGGGGGGGGGGGGCGGGGGGGGGGGGGGGGGGGGGCCCCCGGCGGGGGGGGGGCGGCGGGGGGGGCGGGGGGCGCCCCCGGGGGCGGGGGGGGGGGGGGAGCAGAGGTGGGGAGAACGCCCCGGGGAGGCCACGGGGGAGGGTGATAGGCCAAGGGGGGCCCTAGGGGCAGGGGGCACCCCAGCTCCAGTAGCTGGAGGCCCCGCAGGCCCCAGACGCGCTTCCCCCTCCCCTCATCCTCCCCTTGCTTTCCTTTCAAGTTCAAGTCGGTTCGGGGCTGCGGTCCTTCTCCGCCCCCTTCCACAGCGGCCATTTTCCGCTACATCCACCCTCTCCTGCCTGCGGTGTGGGCTTGGGGGGCTGCGGCGGCTCCCCCCGCCCAGCTCCCCTCCCCTCTTCTCTTCTCTCCTCCCCTCCCTTCCCTCTCCTCTTCCTTGCAGCCAGCTCCCGGGGCTGACCTCCCCTCCCCCTCTCCCCTGGCCCGCGCCCCCAGCGCTTGGGTGAAGCCCCCTCCCCCTCTCCTTGGATGGAGCGGTCCCCTGCATCTTCTTGGGGGGAAACACTTCCCCTAACCACGGCCCTGTCCTGCTCTGCCCCCGGCTCATACACCAAATCTAACTCCGACACACCGCCACCGCCCTGTCTCTTCCCTTCTCAGTGATATGGGGGCAGCGGGGAGACTACGGGGAACCACGGGGTGGGGGTACTGGTGGACGCCCCCTATCCGACCCCCTGCCTTGGCCCCTGCTCTACCCCCAGACGGACGCAGGGGAGCCTCCCTGGACCTCCTGACGCCCCCCTCCCAGTCCCCAAACATTGGACACCCCCCCCGACATTCTACCCCCTCCCTCAGACAATCAAACTTTTGATCAGAGCTAGGGGAAAAAAAAAGTCCGGCGAAAACGAAAGTGTCGTGAAACCTACCATAGTCCCCGGATCCGGCCGGCGCCGAGCAAGTAGCAGTCCCGGCAAAAGGGGGGGGGAGGGGGGAGAGAAACTCCACGCCCCCCCTCCGGAAAACAGAACACCCAAACACCCCCCCACCCCAGGGCCCCCCCCTCGGCCCCCCCCCGCCCCCCCTTCCCCCCCCCCCAATTCCGTGTCCCCGGGGTTGGAGTTGCTAGCTCAGTGTTTAATCATCTCGGGCGATTTCCTTCTAGGACCCGGGTTGCTGTGTGAGCCGATCCACCTTCGCGATTTTACAAAAAAAAAAAAAAAAAAGAAGAAGAAGCAGAAGAAGATGAAAAAAAAAAAAAGCAACGGCGGGGAGAAAGACAGAAACCATGAGAGACATATGTAGAACTAGAAACAGAGAGACAGGGAGAGACAGAGAGGTAAGGAGACAGAGACTCAGAAAAGACAGAATAGGAGAGAAAAGAGAAAGAAGAGGGAGAGGGGCAGAAGTGAGGGAGACACACATAGATACACAGACTCAGAAGGAAAGAATGAGAGGGAGGCAGAGAAGTCAGAGAGAAAATAAGAGGGAAAGAAATAGGGGATTTGAGGGAGACATAGAAAGAAAGAAAGGGAAACAGAGAGAGGATGGGAGGAGGCAAGAAAGAACCTGACCAAGGGATGAGGTGAGTGACAGAACAGAAAGAGGAGAGAGGGAGAGATAGATTAAGAGAGAAATGAGGACGAGAGAGGAGAGAGAATAAAGAGGAAGACAATTGAAAAGGAGTGGAAGAGAAACAGAGATGGGAGGAAGGAGACCGAGGAGAGGGAGAGCTTGAGTAGGCACAAGAGGGGAACGAGCGAAGAGGAGAGAGAAAGAGAAGGCACAGGTGGAAGGGTCCAAGAGGGCCCAGGGGTTGTCCTCCTGAATGCAAGGTCGGGGGAGAATAAAAGATAAATGCTTAGAGTGTGGGACGGAAGGAAGGGAAGGCAGATGGAAATAACAAGTTATTATTATTATTGTTGTTATTAACATTACTAATAATAATAACAACCACCAATGATATAATACCGCTAGCGAAGGTGTGGGAGGCGGCTCAGAGCAGCCCGGGGCCTGCGCCCCCCTGAGCCCCGGGTCTGCACTTCCCTCGGGCCCGGGAGGCTGCGGGAATAAGCCCAGCCCGCTCCTGGACTGCGGGGTCTCTGCTCTCCTGGCCCTGGGGAAAGGCTGGAGGGAGAGCCGCCGGTGGCCCAGCTCCGAGCCGGTACGCTCGGGCTAGGAACCTGGGAGCCGGCCCCCTTGCTCTCGCAGCCCCTCCCCTTCCTCGGCTCTCTCCTCCCCCGGCCACCGCCTCTTCCTCTCTCACTCTCCCTCTGCCCGGTCCCTCTGTCCCTCTCCGCCGTTCTCTGTATGTATGTATATATGTGTATGTGTGTATGTGAGGGAAAGGGGATGTGTTTGCCTTCTTCTTGCGCTCTGTGTCCGTGAGTCTGTCTCTTCCCTTTTTAATCTCCTATCAGCCTCTTCCCCTCCTCATCCCTCTTCTGGAAGGACTAAAGGGGTTGGGCCTAGGCCTGGGGCAGGGCCGGGGCTCGAGCCGGGGTCGGTAGGTCTGTCTGGATCGATAGAAGAGAATCCAAGGCTCTGACTACGGGGAAGAGAGGATTGTACTGAGGTTCGTTACGGGGGCAAAGTCCGCTACAGCCGTGGTCTTCAGGAATTGAAAGGGTAGAGGGTAGGAGGGAGAAGGTAATGGAGGGGCATCCTTCCCCTTCCTCTCAGCCCCCCCCCCTTCACTAGGGGAAATGGAAAATTTGTGAGGGGACAGAGGGGTAGAGCAGATGTCGCAGTGTCTGAAACCTGGTGACAAAGGGAGGGACCGGCAGGGAGATTCCTTTTCGGCTCCTACGCCTTTCCTGGGTGCTTGGCCCTTTAAACTCGAGACCCAGCCGGGATGTCAGGGATGGGGAAAGAGGGAAACCAGAGGGACCACAAGCTTTCTGAGTCGGGGGGAGAAAGAAGGGAGATAGGTAGCATCGGCCAGAGTTGAGGGCAGGGCCGGCCCCGGCTCGTTGGAGACTGAAAGATTGGGGGTTTCTGTTTTAGGGAAGGTTTGATGTGAGGACTATAAGAGATCACCTGCTTGCCTTGGTCTACTGTTCCCCATCAGTGTGTGTGTGTGTGTGTGTGTGTGTGTGCGCGCGCGCGCGCGCGGGCGCGCGCTCGAGCATTCGTTTATAGGTGTGTGTTTAATATCCGTGTCTGGTTAGTTGTGTGTGTGTTTGTATGTTTATGGATTGATTTATTTTATTTGTGTGTGCCAACGTGTTTATGGCTATGTCTGGCCTGTTTGTATTTCGGTGTTTCTGTTGGTGTCTGTGTGCTCATCTGCATGCTTAGATGTATTGTGATGTAGGTATCCATGGGCTAACCGGTGTGTGCTGCGTCTGCCTGTTTACTTCTATCAAATTCCCACATTCCTCCTTCCCCCTCATACTGGGCAAACTCTGGTCCACTCTCTGCTTTCCCCACTTGCACCCTTGCTTTTTTGGCTTTAAGGCTCTGGGTGCAGTTGCATCCTTGATAAATTCTGGTGGGGCTTTCTTCATCTTTAACCAATAAAGGGTTAACTAAGGGGCAGACAGAGAGATCCCTCTCTCCCCTCCATTTTGCAGGCTCATTCCTAATCTCTGATCTCTAATCTCTCTATGTCTACTGAGTCCAGCCTTGATCCATCCCTCAAAAGGGCTCCTTTTGGAAGAGAAATGGAGGATTGCCCTGTCGCAGAAATATAAGGACTGAGGTCAGGTGGGACACTAGGTACCATGGCCAATGGGCAAACAAATAGGAGATTATATGGACTTTGGAGATCATCTCTTCAATCTTCTCATTTTAAGGATGAGGAAACTGAGGGCCAGCGAGGTTGAATAGCAAAACGTAGTAGCTTTTGGAGCTAAGAGGAATAGGGATGGGGACCAGGAGTCTGGGTGAGTGGGGTTAGAGGGAGGGGAGTGAACAGCGACAAGGGGGATATGGAGAAAGGCAAATGGGCTAAGGATAGTAGAGGATCATTGGATATAAGGTTCAGAGGGACCTTAGAGATCATCTAGGCTTTCCCATCTCATTTTACACCTTCCCTCATTTTACAGATGTACAGAGTGAACAACCTACAAGACTAATCTGATTGGGAAACAACTAAGAACCTTCTGGTATTGCCTGGTTGTTCCAGGTACCCTTCCCTTAGCCCTCTGCCCTGCATTTTCTATAGGGTTCAGGATTTCTTAACCTATTTGCCTTTATTAGTGATCTGGGAAAGCACTTCCTCAGAATAATATAGTTTAAGAAAATCACAATGGAAGGAAATGCTATATTTCAGCTAGAGGTTAGTGAAAACAAAAGATAGAATTTTTCCCATCTAAATTCATGGGTTCTTTGATTTCTATCCACAGAAGCCCCTTCCTCCTCTCGCCCTAGGTTAAGAACCCCTGGTATAGTTGGTGGACAATAATCATTGAGTCATTTCAGTCATACCCTATTTGGGGTTTTCTGGGCAAAGATATAAAGTAGCTTGCCATTTCCTTCTCCAGCTCATTTTACAGATGAGGAAACTGATGAGACAGGCTGAAGTGACTGACCTAAGGTCACATAGCTGGTATCTGAAAGTACGGTTGGGACTCAGGTTGCCCTGACTCAGAGTCAAGGACTCTTAACTGTTATGCCAAAAAGTGCAGCCTAGAGCAGAAAGTAATTGGCCTTTCTCTCCTTCCACCCTATGTCCAAAGGCTTCTCAACCTCCGAAGAGATCCAGCCAGCACCCATGAGACCCCAGCCTTGGGGCCTCAGAGGAGGCTCTGGAATGATACTCAGAACTGCTCATCTGACCTGGAAAAAAGGCAGGAGGGTGGGAGGTGAGAGGTGATCGTTAGCTCACCATCCACAGACATAAGCTAGCATCATAGGCCATAACATAGTGTCTCCTCCTTCTGTTTCCTAGATCTGTGCATCCCTCTGTTTGTTCTTCCTCCGTCTGTCCTCTCTGCTTCCTTTAGACTCTAGCTCTGCCTCTCTTCCAGTCTCTTCCTCTTTTCTCCTTGCCTTCTCCATTTCTCACTTTATTTATTTTACCACCCCTTTTCCTCATTTTCCCCTGTCCCTAGCCTACTTGTCAAAACTGGGTGTTGAACTGGATACAGTGCTAGACTTGCAGTCAGGAAGGCCTAAGTTCTAATTCAGCCTCAGACATTTACTAATTGTGTAACTAGAAAGTCATTTAACTTCTCAGGCTCAGTTTCTTCATCTGTGAAATGGAGGTAAACCTTACTCAGAGGGTTGTTGTTCAATAAGCTAACATAGGAAACATAGGAAAAGTATCTTGCAAACCTTAGTGTCCTATGTAAATGCTAGCGTATAGCCTAGAATCCCTTTGATTTTCATCTTTTTACAGGGGTCCCAGACAAACCCTCCCTTCCCCTCAGATGCTAATGATCTTTCTTGCCTTATTTCACCTGGTACCTACAACCTGTATTCCCCTCCCCCAACAAATTGCAGACTCCCTGAAATCAGTCAGTTTCATGTCCTCAGTCCTAGCACAAAGCTTTGTACATAGTAGATATTTAATTAATGTTGAATTTATTTGCCTTTGTTGAATGGACACTCTTAGTAGTTCCCAAATCCTACTCCTTGGTTGGAAGTGGGGTGTGTGTGCACAAGAAAACAGGGATCTCTCTGCCCCTTAGTCAACCCTTTATTGGTTAAAGATGAAGAAAGGCCCATCAAATTTATCAATCTCTTCTCCTCCCCCCAATTTAGCTCCTGATGTAGCTACCAGCACCAACACAAAAGTTCAGTTATAATCAAAGAATCCCTCACATATTTGGGTTCATTTAAAGTTTTCAAATCATTTTCCCATTTATTATTGCATTTGATCCACAAGACAGGCCTATGAGGGAAGCAGGACACGGATAATCAGCCCCATTTTACAGATCAGGAAACTGAGACCTAGAGGGGAGAACTGACTTGCCCATGGTTACATAGTGTCACTGGCAGAACAGGGTCCCCTGTCTACTCTGCTGTGATAGTGATTTCCACTGTATTACTTTGCAAAGTAGTAGGTAGCCTGCTCCAGACAGGTTTATACTGGTTCAGTTGTATGGAAAACTTAGTCTGAAGACTCTATTTTGCTCAGGGAAAGAGTGTTGGTTTCCACCCCAAATTGGAACAAAAGAGTTTATAAAGCACCCAGAAATAGGGGTAATATTTGGATACTTTTAGGGATTATCAGTGTAGCAATCTCTCCATCAATGCAGATTACTGCCTTCTGATCCTATGGCCCTGTGTGGGCAATAGCCAAGTTAATCTGAGTAGTATAAATGCCCATTGGATGTCGTTTAGAGGTCTCTACCTCAGTGGCAATTCTGTGGAGGAGTCAGGTCATTCAACATTATCTGGATAATTTTGATGGTGTGGACCTGACCTCCTAGGGATTTAGAACCCTAGGGAAAGTACGGAAGAGGAGAAAGGGCAGAGGGGAGAGTGAGTAGCGACTGCCTGGTGCCTGGTGTCTGACTCACTTTCCTGTTCCATAAATATAAGTATGATTCAGTTCCTTGGGGCTGGTCAGTTAGCTAGAATCCTTGGGGATGCCCATTTCCCACCAGCATCCAGCAATACCTAATTGTCTCCAAGGAGGGGGTGGGCAGTTAAAGGACTAGGAAGAGGTCAGGCAGTTTGCTACAAGTCAAATCAAGGCCATCAGGATCCTCCAGAGTCCTGCGTTCACTTTAATATATAACTGTCTATGAAAGTAGGTATGAGATTGTCTTTCTTTACCTGTGTGTGTCTTTCTCCCCTCCCCCCCCCGGGTATTTTTGTTTAGGCCTCTATGCCTATGTCTATGTCTATGCTTGTGGGTATGTTTGTGTCGTTGTGTGGATGTATGTGGGTTGCCAAAGGCAAAAGCTTCCCTTTGTTAAGAGGACCAGCAAAGGACCTGGGGCTTTATGGGAGATAAAAGATATGCTGAATAAAAATTCTCCCTTTTCCTGGTCTTGTCTGGGATATACCTAGGGAATTGGGAGAGGTGTTTTTCCAGAGGGTAGGAAACATACCCTGAAAGTCATGGGACACATGCCCAGAAGACCCTGCCTGGGGACAGCTGGGATCTGAGCCCCTGGACCCCTAGAGGTATCTTTAGTTCCCAACCTCCAAATCATTCTTGAATTTCTCCTCCTGGACCATTTATACCTCCACAGCATCACTTTCACCTGTCCCTCCCCTTTCACTTACAATACAAGCATCTTAGCTCAGTCCCTTGGCACGTCTCTCCTAGACTTTGGCAATAACTTCCTGAGTGATCTCCCTGCCCCAGGTTCTTTCCTCTCCAATCCACCCTCCCCATAGCTGGCAAAGGGATTTCCCTAAAGCCATGCCACTCTCCAACTCCCAAAGCTCTGGAGGCTCTCTCTTGTTTGCACAATAAAATACAAACTCTTCTGCTTGCCGTTTAAACCTCATCACAACTTGGCCCCAGCCTACCTTTCTGGATTCAGTCCATATTATTCCTCTTCACCCATTCCTGTTCCAGACACTTACTGGTCCCCCTATATAATATCCATCTCCTGTTTCCATGTCTTTGCCTAAGCTGTTCCCCATGCCTGGAATACTCTCCCTTCTCACCTTACTTCCTCTTCTTGGGATCTCTAGCTTTCTTTAAGGCTTCATTCAAGTATAACCTCCTACATGGAACCTTCTGGGATCCTTCCAGCAGCTAGTTCCTGTCTCCCTCACCCATCCCAATTACTTTGTGTTTACATTGTACATATTTTGTATCTATTTATATGTGTACATGTTTCCCTCCCAATAAAATGTAAGTTTTTGGAGGTGAGGACAGTTTCATTTTTGTCATTGTGTTCTCAGCACCAAGCAGAGTACTGGGCATATTGTAGGTGCCTAATAAATGCTTGCTGATTGATTGTCTCATATTTCTCCCCACTGGTGGCTCTGTCCTTAGCCCTCTTCTCCCTCTATATTCTTTCACTTATTGATTTCATTAGCTGCCACGGATTCATTTATCATCTCTATGCTAATGATTCAAAATATATCTGTTCAGTCGTGTCCAACTCTTCGTGACCCCTTTTGGGGTTTTCTTGGCAAAACACTGGAGTGGTTTACCATTTCTTTCTCCAGCTCATTTTACAGATGAGGAACTGAGGCATGCAAGGTTAAGGGACTTGCCCTGGGTCACACAGCTCGCATTTGACCAGATTTGAACTCAGGAAAAGGAGTCTTCCTGATTCCAAGCCCAGTACTCTATCCACAGTACCACCTGGCTACCCAAAATACACTTATCCAGCCCTAAACTCTTTGCGGGCCTCCAGCCTCCCATCTCCAACTGCCTCTTGGGCAGCTCCAACTGGATGTTCTATAAATATCTTAAATTCAGCACATCAAAAACTGAACTTATTGTCTTTCCCCCCAAACCCTTCCCTTTTCCTCCCCTGTTACTTTTAAGAATACCATCATCTTCCTAGTTATCAGGGTTTGAAACCTAGGTGTAATCCTGGACTCCTTATTCTCTACCCCACCCCAATATTCAATTTGTTGCCACATCCTGTCAATTTTACCTTTGTACCATCTCTCAAACTTGGCCACTTCTCTCCTTTGACACTGCCACCACCCTGGTTTGGACCCTCATCACTTCACACCCAGACTGTTGCAAGAGCCTGCTGGTGGGGCCCCACTCCAGCCCATCCTCCACTCAGCTGTCACAGTAATCTTTCTAAAGCACAGGTCTGATCATATCACGTCCCATCCAACCCATACACTCCAGTGTCTCTTTATTACCTCCAGGATCAGATATAAAATCCTCTGTTTGGCATCCCTAGCCTGTCCCTCTACCACCTTTCCAAACTTCTTACACTTTATGCCCCCACCCCATAGTCTGTGACACTGGCCTCTTTGCCAGTATCAATCAGAGACAATAGATCTCTTGACTCCAGGCATTTTCACTGGCTGTCCCCCCTGCCTGAAATGTTCCCTCCTGTCACCTCCACCTCCTGACTTCCCAGGCTTCCTTCAAGTCCCAGCTAAAATCCCATATTCTGCAGGAAACCTTTCCTGATGGCCCTTAATTCTAGTGCCTTCCTTTTGTTGATTATCTCTCTTTTTCCTGTTATATAGCTTGTTTGCATATAGTTATCTGCATGCTGTCTCCCCATGAATGCCCTTAGAGCAGGGCCTGTCTTTTGCCTTTCTTTGCATCCCCACACCTTAGTGCAGAGCCTGACACATAGTAGCCACTTAATAAATGTTTATTGACTGACTCACTGGTGGCCTTCACAGGATTAAATCACCAGAACCAGAGGCTTGCTGACCTCCTATGCCCTAGGGAAAAAGCAACGGGGTACAATGTAAAGGATTATGGGCCAGGAGTCTGACTAGCTCTGCCACTGGTTCTAAGTCTATCCCTACCTTTCTCTGAGCCTCATAAAATGAAGGGGGATAGGGGGACTGTGTGGTGTATTTAAGCTTTGACTTTCTTTGATTCTATGAGTATCCCTGGATTTGAGGCTGAGGGGAAGAATCCTTTGATTACCCTAGGTTATTTGGGTTGGTCCTACAGAGAAACACCTCTGAACAGACAGGGGCAGCTTTGGGCATGGAGCACTTGATCCCCAGTAGCTTCGTTGACACTGTTCCGAGGAATGCCTACCATCTCCCTTCCACCTCCTAGCCAATTCCTACTCCTCCTTCAAAGTCTAGCTCCAATCTTACTTTCTTAAGCCTTCCCTGAGGCCTCCCCACAGCCATTAGTGAGCTCTCTCCTAAGTTCCTCCAGTCGTGACTGGACTGATCCAATAGTTTTATTCTCTGATTATTTCCCAGGTGAGAGGTTTGCTTCTCTAGCTGGACTGGACCCCATGGCTGGGCCCACAGTGAGCTGGGCTCAGTAAAGACGTGTTGACCTACTGAACTCCCATTTAAAGGATCCTAGGGGGAGAGATGGGAAGATGGAAGACCGGAGTGGCTATTCCCAGTGAGCATGCCACTCATGGGCCCCACTCATGGCCACTCATAGGCTAGTAGGGGAATGAGGTACATGCGTAATAATTATAATACAAAATAAAATTTGATACATGCATATGAAAGGTGCAAACCTGTTACTGTGTGATATTTGAGGAATGAAAGATTTTTACTGACTGGAGAGTGGGGGTGGAGCTCAAGGAAGTTGTCCTGGAGTAGATGGCATTTGGACATGGAAGTGGAGGAGTGAGTTCCAGACATAGAGAGCAAAAGCATAAGCCAAGGCATAGAGTCAGGACAACCTGGTGCATAACCTGGCACAGTCCTAAGGGACAGGCTTCCACTCTCTTTTCTGTGGGTGAGGAACTCCATCTCTACTAACTCTTTTGGCCTTCCTTAGACTAACCCATTAGGGCAGGAGAGGAGTGGACCCATTAGGGTACACTTGTGGTATAGGGACAAGGAGGTTGCCAAGGTTAGTTGAGTGGTGGGAGGAAGGGGAGGGGTAGAGGAGATACAAGTAGTCTTTTGCTCTTTCCCTATTTCGAAACCATGTGGCTGAGTATCACCATTTGCCCTCTCCCCCCAAAAAAACTCAACTGAACTCACCCTGTTCCACTGTAGAACTAAATGCTTAAAACCATCTCTTACATCTATACCAAACATACCCTCCATTCATCCTCTGATCCTCACAACACTCCCCAGGATGTGGGTAGGGATTAGTTTCAACGTTTGACAGATGGGGAAATGGAGGTCCAGGAGGGAGGGACTCATTTAAGATCTCATTTCCTGAATCCCTGAATCCTGGTCCAGGCTTTCCCCCAGTGTATCCACTACAACTCTAGCACCTTAGCCTACTCTTGAAGATAAACCACAACATTTACTAGCCTACAGCTTGGTGTGATTTTTTTAACCACACAATTACAAGGCAGGGCTTCAAAAGGCAGAGATGAGAGAAGATACTGGAGAAAGATATTCTTGTAGTAAAGAATGTCTTGGGCAAAGGCTAGGAGTGATAGAGGAAAAGGGAGTTATCCAGTCAGACTGGAAAAGAGGGGCTGTGTAGAGAAGCAGTCAGTAGATAATGTTGGAGAGGAAGACCAAGGTGGGTCAATGGAGGGCCTCTAATGCCAGGCTCTGCAGCCTTTCCCTTTCTTTCTGTTTTCTCTTTCCTTCACTTCTCTGGCCTCAGTTTTATTTTATTTTTGCAAAACGGCAGTGTTGATGTTACTTAAATCTCCCCTCCCCCTACCCATGATGCCCGATTCAAATTCCATTCACTAGAAAGAATGAGTTTGTGAGTTTTACAGTATGAGAGGGTCCTGGCTCTGGATCCAGGTCTGGGCCAGGCCTGGAGGCCTACCATTCCCCATCACTTCCTCATCATTGCCAAGAGCTCTCTCCTGCTTTTAATTCCGAGGGAAAAACCTCTCCCTGATCGTGGGGGAAGGAATGCTCAGTGGCTGTCAGCCCAGACCCTCCCTTTTCCCCCAGCCCAGCTCAGCCTAGTCCAGCTTTGCCAAGGGGATAGTAAAGGTCACTATAAGCTAAACCCAGAGTCAGAATGAGAATGAGAGGAGGACCCAACTCAGAGACAAGACGCCTCTGACCACCCCAGCTTTTGTGCTTTTATGTTCTCTATCTCTCATCCCTGAAGGTATGCTTCAGAAAGCAGGTGGGGAATCCTGGACCCGTCCACTGAGCTGTCCCCACCCCCACCTCACCATCTGTTCATGATTGAAAAGGCTGGAGCTCCCCGGGTTTAATTTGCAAATGATCTTAGAATTAACGGGAAGAGCCCATAGCCAGCCAGTCCCTCCTCCTCTTAAAAAAAAAAAAGTGGATCTGGGCTTCCCAGAGAGTGGGGGTGAAGTCCTAACCCATCAGAATTTTTGTACCCACGTGGCAGAGTGGAAAAAGTGAAATCTCAGAGTTGGCAGAGACTTCAGAGTCCCACCTGCATGGGAACAAGAAGCTTCTTGAGGACACCGGGTGCAAGTGTTTGGTCATACAGAGTCTGTCTGCCTGCAGACCTCCAGAGAGGAGGAACCCACTGCCTCTGGAGGCAGCCCATCCCGCACGGGAGAACTTTACTGGCAGGCAAGTTCCCTCCAGCCTGGAATTAGCCTCTGCAACATCCTCCCATTTCTTCTAACTCTGCCCAGGGGGCCAAGCAGCCCAAGCCTAATTCCTCTTCCATCTGACAGTCTTTCAGATGCTTAAACATGTAGCTCTCATGTCTCAACTAACTCTTCTTTTTTTCTGGGCTAAACATTCCCGGATTCACATATGGTCCTGGGCTTCTCCTTACCCTCTTTTTGAATATTCTCCAACTTATAATGGTCTTCCTAAAATGTCACAATTGAACACAATACTCAATATATAGTCTGACCAGGGAGACAGCAGGATATAATCTCCCCAGTCCTGGGCATGACTCCCCTCTAAATGCTGTGCAGATTTCATTAATTCTTCTGATGGCCCCATCACACTGTTGATTTATACTCTTAATTTCTGCCGATACTGTGGCCCTCCGAGTCCTCTAGATCCTTTTCAGACAAATTGCTATTTTACTGTGACTCCTGTATCTTTTACTTGTGAAGTTGATTTTCTTTTCTTTTTTTTTTTGATGAGGTAATCAAGGTTAAGTGACTTACCCAGGGTCACACAGCTAGTAAGTGTCCAGTGTCTGAGGCTGAATTTGAACTCAGGTCTTCCTGATTCCAAGGCCAGAGCTCTATCCTCTGTGCCACCTAGATGCCCCTAAAGCTGATTTTCTGAACAAAACTGTATGACTTTTTATCTATCCCTATTACATTTCATCTTATTAGATACAGTCCAAAGTTCCAGTCTGTTGGGATCTTTTCAGCTCCTGACTAGGTTTGAAGTCAGCTGGCCAGTGTTTGTATTCTGGCTCTGATCATTACATGATCATGGATGGGTACATAATAATAGTTAGCATTCTTATATGGTTTTAAGTTTTGCAAAGTGCTTTACATGTTATCTCATTTGATGCTTATGACAACCCTAAGAATCAGGGGTTATTATTATCTTCATTTATTTATTTATTTTTTGTGGAGTAGCTAGGTTGAACAGTGAATAGGGCACTGGATTTGGAATCAGGTACATCAGTCTTCCTGAATTCAAATCTGGCCTCAGACATTTACTAGCTGTGTGGCCCTGGACAAGTCATTTAACCCTGTTTGCCTCAGTTTCCTCATCTGTAAAATAAGCTGGAGAAGGAAATGGCAAACCACTCCAAGAAAACTCCAAATCAAGGCCATGAAGAATCTGAGACAACTCAATAATAAAAATTATCTCCATTTTACAGATGAGGAAACTGAGGCAGAGAAATTAAACAATTGGCCCAGAATTGCACAGCTGGTATCTGAGAAAGGTTTTGAACTCAGATCTTCCTTATGCCAAGTCCAGCTTCTGTGAGAATGACTTCTCTGTCTCTAAAATGGGTGGGGGCAATAGCGGGTGCATTAACTACCTTACAGGGTTGTTGGGAGGAGAGACACTTTGTAAACCTTAAAGGGCTATAGACTTACTATTATTGTTATTTTCGTCTCCTGGGAAGACAAAATTAGGATCTGGGATGGCTATAAAGATACTTCCTATAATCAATTGCTGGTGTTAAATCTAATTACTACTGACAAAGTGTCATAAACAGAGGACTCCCAAACCTTTTCTTTAAACACAAAGGTCTGCTCCCTCCTCCTCTCTCCATTTCCTTTTATGAGAGAGAAAAATGACTCTGTTGCAGAAGGAACCTCTAGAAAGAAGAGAAATTAAATTGGGGAGCATGATTAAAAATGATCCAAGTGGAAGTTACCTTTCTCTTAAGACCTGTATAAATCTTGCCATTTAACATCTTCCTCTGGGGTTTGCTAGTTATGATGGAAGCAACATTGATGCCCTTTTGGGGGGTAGAAAGGGTGACGGTGGGATGTCCAGCTGAAACAATTTCTAATTATTGAAATTCCAAGCCAGGAAACACCAGAGAGATGACTGGGGATTTCCAAAGGAATATTAATCTTTACTTCTTTTTTCCTCCTCAACTTTTGAGAGTCTTAGGATCTCAGAGTTGGAAGAGACCCCAGAAGGCATCTGCCTCCAAGCAATTTTCACCCACTACTCTAATTTTGTCTTCTGATGTCAAGAGGAACTGGTTTGTCCCCCTTCTTCATGAGAGCTTCTCAGATATTGAAGTCAATCAAGGAACCCCTCTTTCCCCACTTCTGTCACCAAGGTTTCTTTTTTCCCCAAACTAAACTTTCCTTGTTCTTTCACCCTGATTTTGAGTCTCTTCATACCATTCTCTTCTTTTCCTGTGGAGCTGCCTAATTTTGCCCTGAAAGATCAAATCCACTTTTTGGTAAACCTATCTTTTCTTTCTTTTTCTTTCTTTCTTTCTCTTTCTCCCTCCCCCCCTCCTCTCTCTTTACCTCCCTTCCTTCTTTTCCTTCCTTCCTTCCTTCCTTCCTTCCTTCCTTCCTTCCTTCCTTCTTTCCTTCTTCCCTGTCTCCCTTCCTTTCCTTCCTCCCTCCCTCCCTCCCTTTCTTTCTCATAAGCAATTATTCTACTAGTATTGAGAACTGCTGGTGAGGAAATTCCATTTACCAATACAAGTGAAGAATGACTTTCCCAGGATCACATAAGCAGTACAGGTCAGAGAAAGGACTTAAACCCAGATTTTCCTGACTCCAGAGCCAGCTCTCTACCTACTATTCCATGATGTCACCTTGGGATCCCTAACATCATCAGTCTGCTCCTTGAAGGTTTATATATCATTTGCTTCATGAAACCCTGTGAGGTAGGTAATACAATTATTATTATCCTCATTTTTTAATATGACCTGAGATTTCATTGGTATAGGGAAATCCTACTCATGCGTGTGTGTGTGTGTGTGTGTGTGCGCGTGCGCGCGAGTATGTGTAGGGTGGAAAAGACATCTAGACAGAGAACCCAGAAAAGTATCTTCAAACCTTGGTAGACAGCCAGGTCTATCTCCCTGGGTTCAAATCTGGCCTCACACACTTCTAGCTGTGTGACCCTGGACAAGTCATTTAATCCTGTTTGCCTCAGTTTTTTTAATTTATAAAATGAGCTAGAGAAGGAA